CGCATATCCACCATAGTCAGACCTTTACTTTCTTCCTCATTCCAATAGCTAACATAAATGAATTCTCCAATGTAGAAATTTACATCATACCAACCATCATTTACATTATCGAGAAACTGTAAAAATTCCTCAAATTCATTGAAGGTGAATGGTGTTGAATGTTGAATTCTTTCGGTTAGTTTGCAGCTCATACCCTAGAGAAAGACTAAACTTATTCGACTAAGAGGTCTGTATTTATAGAAAAGAACTTAATTATTTAAAAAAGTTTATTAGGTACTTACACAATATAATTATACAATAAATTCTTAATACTACATGGACTTAAAATAATTTTATGATATTAACAAGCTATTATCCAGCCTGGATCCTACACTGTCCAAAAAATCCTAAATTCGCTCTAGTTAGATAAATTAGGTTTAGTTTAGTATACAATCTAATAATAAAATCTTTTAAATATGTCCTTTAACGTAAACAGAACCTTGAGCATCCAAAACCGCAAACGTTCTACTTTTCTGTTGAATGTTTCATAGTGTCGAATGTTTCATAGTGTCTGCTTAGATCAATGTTCGAACATTACCGGATAAAGGTAAGTATTCAAAAACTCGATCATGTACGATAATACAACAGGCTCGTGTATCTTCCGAAAAATTCTCTGAGCTTTGGAACTCTAATTTGACATCAGTCGTGTTGCTTTTGAGGGATTCGTTCTGTTTTGAGCAGTCTATAACAAATAATGCCCTGTTGGCAAAATTGGGAAGGTCCAGCAATGGTTCACTATTGGTTTTACCCAAATACGTGTTTTGAAATTCGGTATACATCCGGTATGCTTCTGCAAACTGTTTGTCATCGAAATTAAGATTCAGTGATTCATACGGATAAACTTCAGAGTTTAGATACAGCTTGACATCTGTTATATCCAAATTATCGAAAAGAGTAATATCATACCGAGGATTATCTTTTCGTTTTTTCTGGAAAAAGACTATGACATATCTAGCTCTCTCAGACATGGATTTCACAGTCCACACGTCTCGCTTGGATTTTCTCAATGTAGGTAACTCATGAATCTCCCAACTTCTGAATGGAATAAATATGGGTTTGTTGTTCGAAATATCTTCCAATAATTTCAATTTTAAAACATCGTTTGGATAAATGTGCCTCACCCTCAATTCTACTGTGTCTAAAGTAATTTTTGCTGTTTTATCTCCAGTCGTATTGATGTAACAGTTATCATCATTTCTAGCTCTGACAAGTTTTATTTTCTGTCTTCCCATAATAGCCTTATTGTAATCGGAAAAGATATTCAGTAAAACTTTCAAGGGTATTAGAAAATTGAATTTATCCCCCGCTAAAGATTTTACTGTTCCACTAGGCCAATTCCATCCAGCTCGTTCGAGTGCTCTACTTTCTTGATCATTGAGGCATAGCAGGTTTCTCACTGTGCTGGTAAGCCCCGGATCTCGAATTTTATCAATTTCCTTGCCATTTAATTCATAAGCGATGGATTCAAAAAGGAATGCGCCTGCATTAATTGTTAGATTACATTTTCCTGTCTTTCCAGCGGTAACGTCTTCATTAAACTTTCCTTCAATGTAGACTTCGGCTTGGCTGATATCTATAAATGCATCTTGTTGATTGATAACAATTTCTATTTCATCACTATAGTTGAAGGCATTAGTGAAGGGGTGGTAAGTATGCCATTCCTCTCTCGCTACAGACTCATCGGTGTTGACCGACTGAAATATTTGCAGTTTTCCTGATACGATATCCATATTTGGAAGTTAGAGATCTCAACCCAATCAAACTTTTATGTGTGAGCGCTTGCTTTGACGGTTGACTGCAGACTGAGCTCGAGTTATTAACACCACTGTTTAAATAGTCACCAGTTTTATTAAAAACCAGGACCATATTTCTTAAGCTCTAATCTCACTATGATCTCCTCTCCTCGGAAATTAACTGGCCGTCCTTCTTGATCAAGTATATTAATTGTTATATTATCTATACTGTCCCTATTGATAGGTAGATATATCAAGTTTCGAGGATCTATTATAATTCGGTATCCAGGATCCACAGCTGGAGTAAATTCGTATAACGTATGTGAAGGATTACTATTGAAGTAGGAACCAGAGATGATGTTGCACTCTATCCGTATACTAGCCACCGATATTATCTCAACTGGCAGATCGGATTCGTGTAGATAATTCTTTTCCAGAGATTTTTCTGAAAATCCCAAAAGTTTTCCTATACTATCCTCAGGCTTGAAATTAATATCATATATAGCCTTTAGTTCACACTTCAATGTATTGTTGTTTGGTTTAAGAGAAATATTTTCTGTTGTAGTCGTACTTAATTGTTTTTGTAGATAGGCTTCAATATCGGTAACCTCGTACGACCCGGTTGGGATTTCTATTATTTGTTGTTTTCCTGTAACGCTATAGTAGAACTTGTTTCGACCTGGTTCAATGTTGGGAATGGAATTCCACGTACTGAGTGAGATGAGAGCTAATGAATAGTTATAACTAGAATCAAGCTTGATGGGTGGTGTAATATCAACACTCAAGCGACTTGTTCGACCTTTCAACGTGAATGTCTGAGACATGACTGAAATAAAATCAAAACACAATTGCTTTATATAGATTTATTAAACAAAAAACCAAGTACAAGATGTCCACAATTGTAGGAGTTATATGACTGATACTGATCATAGTTGAAAAGTATCTTACAATTTTTAAAATAACGAACGAGTTCTTTTGGTGGATTTAGGTTCCCAAAACTATCAAAGTAAACAACAGTGTTTTCCTTTTTCTTATAAGCTACCCAATGTGATCCCGATCCCATATTCGTATCCAAATTAAGAACCCCGCATTCGGTTTTCTTTGAAGACGATGGTAAGGTATCTCGCATAAACACGCCTCTAAAATTGAAAATTTTAAGTTTTTTAACGTATCGCTTGATATCTTGATCACTTAGTGGACGATCGGGTAGCTTTATTGGAAGTTTTTTGACATCTTTTTCAGGTAAAGTCCATATCCGGTCTTGTGTTTACTAAGATATAATCCACTCCCTTTTTTTCCTAACGCAATAGCTTCCATCATTTCGTTGTGTCGTTTGGACTCGACAAGTTTATCTTTCGCAGAACGAGCGTCATTCACTGCTTTTGCCACCCCTGCCGCGCCCCCACTTAAAGCGCCCAGCGCGCTAAGTCCGGCAAACAGAGGTATAAGAGGAATAATTCCACCTACTTTTGGTACTGGGATAACTCGTGGAACTCGAATCTTTTTGGGTCCACCAGCTTCTTTGATTGTCTTACGAGCTGCTTGAAGCGCCGATTTAATAAATTCTTTTATTCCTCTACCACGATGCTTTACTTGCTTTCTAATATTAGCCACAACATAGGATTTGAATGGTTTCAAACTTTTCGATCGAGCCATGCTGAGTTTACGTTTAGTTTTCTTCTAACCGAAATTGCGAAATCCTATCCTTTCACCCGTTCCCACGATATATTTTTTAGCACTTTATCTGGCCGATGTCTGTGTTGTAGATCCGTGAATTTCAAAAGAAAGCTTGTTGATGTAGCTATTTAAAGGACCTACACTCGATGGTGTATTCATTAAGAATGAAACAGAGGTAGAGTGAACATTGTTTATATACGATGCGGAAGATGAAGCAGAAAATCAACATAAAGATCGATAACTTTGACATTAATAAGTCCACTAGTGTTAGAAAGAGACATGGAGAACTTTTACCAAACACAATTAGAGCAATAATATGCGGGCCAAGTAATTCAGGGAAAACAAATGTTATGCTTAGTATGTTAACCGATGAGAATGGACTTAGATTCCGAAATGTATATGTATATTCCAAGTCATTGGACCAAGAGAAGTATAAGTTTCTGAAAGAGGTGCTCAACCGTGTTGCTGGTATAAACTTTTATGGATACAGTGATAATGAAACCGTTTTAGATCCGCAAACAGCTAAGTCAGATTCGGTGTTTATATTCGATGATGTGGCTTGTGAGAAGCAAGACAAGATAAGAAACTATTTTTGTATGGGCCGCCATAATGCTATTGACTGTTTTTATCTTTGTCAGACGTATTCAAAAATACCTAAGCAATTGATTCGTGATAATGCAAATATGATTATAGTATTTAAGCAGGATGACACGAACCTGAAACATGTGTACGACGATCACGTTAACACAGATATGTCTTTAAATACGTTTAAAACTATTTGTTTGTGAATGTTGGAAAGATAAATATGGTTTCTTAGTCATTGTTAAAGATGATGATATCACGAGCGGTAGATATCGAAGTCAGTTCAACACCTATATATCTCCATAGAAGACAAATTCTCCTCAGTATCCCTTAAGACGTCGCTGTGTACAGACCCCTGCAATAGCTGTACCATAGCTGTCTCTGAACTAGTGTAGCTGTCTAAAAGCTGTCTCCTACCCTGCATAGCTGTCTAAAAGCTGTCTCTAGACCTGTATAGCTGCCTAAAAAAGCTGTCTTCTGACCTGTATAGCTGTCTAAAAAGCTGTCTCCGGACCTGTATAGCTGTCTAAAAAGCTGTCTGCTGACCTGTAAAGCTGTCTCTAGACCTGTATAGCGGTATACGGACCTGTATATAGCTGTATACAGACCTGTCTCCGGACCTGTATAGCTGTCTAAAAAGCTGTCTGCTGACCTGTAAAGCTGTCTCTAGACCTGTATAGCGGTATACGGACCTGTATATAGCTGTATACAGACCTGTCTCCGGACCTGTATAGCTGTCTAAAAAGCTGTCTGCTTACCTGTAAAGCTGTCTATATACCTGTATAGCGGTATACGGACCTGTATATAGCTGTATACAGACCTGTCTCCTGATCTGTGTAGCAGTATAAAAGACAGTGTAAAACCTGGTTGGAAATCATGGCTTCGGTTCCAAGCGAAAATGATAGGAATATCAAGAAGAAAATACTGAACGCTGCTAGATCTATAAGAAAAAAGTATTTGGCTTTAAAGCTGGAGAGAAAAGAGGAAGATGAGGCACTTGATAGGATAATAAACCCTATAACTGAACCTCTAAGAGAGTTTGTTGAGAAAACGGTTGGCAGAAAAGTCCAAGTTAAACATGAAAAAGTTAAGCTCGAAGCTCCTAAAACGTATTTTGAATCTGAACCGAAACTTCCTAGAAATGTAGAGTTCCAACCAACAGAGATTATTGCTCAAACGAGTGAGAATTTAATAAGTGATGATGATGATGATGATGATGATGATGGCGCTGAGGATGTCTTTTATGAACCCTTACAACATTTGAAAGAAGATCTGCAGAAATCAATTCACGATAGATCAGGAGCGTATGAAGAATTTTTAGATCAGTATCCCAAAGTAGCACAAGAGTATGTAGATAGATACTATAAACAATCAGATGAAATAGACCATTCTTATGGCTTGAAACATGATATGAAAACCGATGATTGGTCTATGGGATCACAAAAAGTCAACTTTCTCCCGAATGGAGATATTAAAGTCGGGGCTGTATCTTATAAAGGAACGCAGGGCTTATATGATCTTTTATTTCTGAAAAAGCCGATCTATCAGACAGAGGATGATAAGTTGCAGTTTACGGATATTCTAAACAGGACCAATGTTCATCGAAGAGATTTTGATCCATCCAAACAAGTTAAAGGGTCCACATCTTCAAAATATAGACAGTTTGTTAAACCTTTGGTCTCATCATCATCTGAAGCAAAAAGGCTTAAATCAAGTAACAGTGCCTCGCCATCTGGCCGAAATCCATCTACAAGATCTCAAAATAAATCCGGAAGTGCTTTATTATTAGAATATAATGAGAAACGAAAACAATATGTTTATTACGATGACGTCAACGAATTAATTGATAGACTTGTTAAATTGGATGCATCACAAAAAGCTGGAAATACCAATAATATCAATGAGATTATGAGTATTTTAGAGGAACTGGCTGAATTGGGTGTGATTGAGTTTAATAAATAGTTCTACATGTGTTATCTTGAATCATTATAGGGTTAGCCACTTTCAAGTTTAGATCTCTTAACATTTATGTACTGTGAGTCACAACGAAAAAAAAAAATGAAAACTATTACAAAGGCTAGGGAACGGGTGGTTGAAGAACTACATAAGCCAGCACGTAAAAAGTTTAATCGTAGAAGATTTATACAGTATGGTCTGGATGATACTTTTGCCACCGACTTGGCTCAGCTTGATCAGTATGCTCGAGAAAACAAGGGATTCAAGTACATATTGGTTGTTATCGATTGTTTTTCTAAATTTCTGTGGACTAGAGCTGTAAAATCGAAATCAGCGCAAGATGTCGCTAAAGCTATGGAGAGCATTTTGAAAATTTCCAGAAGAATACCCAAGAAACTTATTTCGGATAATGGAAAGGAATACTATAATATTCAATTTTCGAGTCTAATGAAGAAACATGGAATACATCATTATAGTTCGTTTAGTCCTCTTAAAGCATCTATTGCAGAGCGAGTAATTCGAACCATTAAAGAAAAGTTGTTTAAGCAATTTACATTAAACGGAAACCATAAATGGATCGATTTATTGAAGCCTGTTACCGATGCATATAATGACCGCAAACATAGCACGATTAAAATGAAACCAAGCAAAGTTACTAAAAATAATGAAAAAACACTACTTAATACTGTTTATAGTCATATTAAGGTAGCTGGAAAACAGAAATTCAAGGTCGGTGACGTAGTTCGCATAAGCAAGTTCAAGCATGTTTTTCAGAAAGGATATACCCCAAACTGGACTACGGAATTGTTCCACATAGCTAAAGTGAGAATTACAAATCCAACAACATATTTGTTAGAGGACTTGCAAGGTCGGCCTATAAGTGGTGGTTTTTATGAAGAAGAACTACAGAAAACAAAACAACCTGATGTGTTTCTTATAGAACAAGTATTACGAAAGAAAGGAAATAAAATGTATGTAAAATGGTTGGGATTTGAAAAATCTCATAATAGCTGGGTTGACAGGGATAAAGATCTAGTTTAAAAGCGGATTTAAACGATTTGCAACTCATTTGTAATACTGAGTGTGAAGTATCAAGTTTGCAAAGAAAGTAGTCCTTCTCATTCACATAACTTAAGTCATAATCATAAAAATAAGTATTGTACGGTAATTTAACATGACAACACCAGCAGATATTGATTGTATGGATAGTGAAGATGAGAGCTGCTCAACCTGTTCCTCACCTAATTGGAAGTATGTCAATAGTATGTTTTTGATGAGTAAACAAGAAATCATGAAAAAATCAACATTTTTGGGGGAGACTTGTTATTCAACCAAGAATTTCAAAATAATTTCTGGAATAAGTATTGCTCGAGGACTAATTCCTAGCCTAAAAGTCACAAGTACAATTCTAAATCTACCTGAAGAACAAGTGTCTGTTTCGTTTAGCTATATAGAATGGTCCAAATTTCTGGATATTGTTACATCCTTCATGGAACTTTCTGGAGATGGTAGTGATGTCATAACAACTGTTTCATTATCGGATACCATCATTGTTTCTACAGTTATGTGTTTTGGAGAGAGAATTATCAAGTTAACAAGCGGAGAAGTTGATTTATGTTTTTGTATAGACGATATAGAATCCATTTCATATATCCGAGAAATAATAGATTATAGGTTAAGTTTACTTATAGAACTAGATTTTAGAACTTTTTATGATAATAGTTTAAAATATTATAATGTAACCACTGTTAACGAAAATAATTTTTTAAGTGTCATAAAAGAATATTGTAATATAAATATATGTGAATTATCCTATTTTATGTTAGAATTCGTATACCTCAACCCGGAAAAAATAGTTATGGATTTCAAGAAATTATGTGTTTTAGATATCTAGTGATGTAATAATAAGAATGTGAACTTGTGAAAAATAATTTTTATGCAATACATTCTTTAAAAACATTCGTTATTTTATTTCCATTTTAGTTTTCAGGATAAACTACAAGAGAGAGAGAGAGAGAGAGAGAAAGAGAGAGACAGAGATAGAGAGAATAAGAGTTAGTAGCAGTAGACATTCAATTTAGTATCATCATGTCTGTCGATAAGTTTGGTCGTTCACAGCGCTTAAAAACTGTTAACGAGTATAAAAATTTGATGTTGAAACGACGTTTGGAAAACCAATCACAAGATTATGCAACGAAATCCTATATGGATAAATCATTGAGAGAATTTTTGGAAAAATTTAAAACAGATTCTGAAAACCAGAAAAAAGTCACTGAGTCACCCTCACAAGAATTATCTGGAAAGTATAAGCAGATAGAATCTTTAATCAAAGATAATCAAAAGAAAATTGAAACTTTGACAAATAAGAGCCACTCGTTTGAAAATGATTTTAAAACAGTGAATTCTTCAATGAAAGAAAGTCAAAAGAAAATTGAAAGTTTAGCCACTATGAACCAATCGATTAGCACTGATATCAAAAACAAATTGGCTCCAAGAATAGCTGCCTTGGAAGAACAACATAAGTTATTTAATATAACACCTTCATATATAAGTATTGGTGACAAGAGAATAGTCAGAGCTTCCAAAGCTATAAACGATAACGATTTAATCACGAAAGGTCAGGTGATCAAAATGATTAACGAGAAGCATCCTGTTTTACCAGCAGCAGTGGCGAATAAAAAGGGAAAAGGAAACTAAAGATGAAGACTAGAACGGGAATCAACTGGAATCACACTACTTGTATTTATTTAGTTTATGCTCATAGGAAAAAGTCAATGTTCTTGATGGTTCAATAAATTAATTTTACGGGAAGCCTGGGAACTTTTTTGATACTGTAGGAAAATCTCTAGATCGGCGGCGCCTTTAATTTGAAGTTTCGAAGGTTTGACCTAGGCGAACCCCAATTTTGAGAATTTAAAAATGGATCCGAAATGGGATGGAGTATTTTCATCAACTTCCAGATTTGCAAATGGACCAGCAACATGCAAATTGGAAAATTGTTCCAAAACCAGTGTATCAAGAATATAATATTGGAGACATTGTGCAAATTATTTATAATCCTGAGAAAACGGACATTGTCTTACACCACAAGAACGAAACTTCTATACCATTCACCTTCAATGAATTTGAGGAATTTTTACAGTTTCTCGATAATGTAAATGATGGTTGGTATGATGTAAATTTCTACATTGGAGAATTCATTTATGTTAGCTATTGGAATGAGGAAGAAAGTAAAGGTCTGACTATGGTGGATATGCGAACAATGGGAAAAATTTATTGGAATGAAAATCATCTTGATTTAATTCTAGAACATAAATATAACCTGTATGATATTTTTCTTAAATAAAAAATTGAAATAAAAAAATTATTCTGGCCTATTTCTTTTTCTCCTATACCAAAACCACAATAAATATCCCATAAATAAAACAACTACCTATGTAGAAATATAAAGTGTTTTTTATTATCAATATTTCTACAACAAAAAAAATAATAAATTCCTCCTGAATCATTATGTCTTGATCTTGTTGATGCGTTTTGACGTTTTCTCGATGCCGTTAACTCTAAAAATTGAAAATGTTTTTAGTATTAATTTAATAATTTATATGGTATACTTACAATTCAACAACTTTGAAAATTGGTGTTGGATTCAGGCCTTTAATATCTCGCATGCCTTTAAATTTCAATCCAAATTTCCCAGCCTCGAAGTGCTGAATGTTTTGTTTAATTGAATCGGCTGCACGTTGAGGAAGAAAGGTAATGTTTTTATCCATTTCTACTCTGGCTACTTCTCCAAATTTTGAATTCACTATAGTCATACCCCGAATTGGATAGGGATGCTCTGGAGTCAAATCTTGTAGCTTTAAGTAGGACTTTTCCTCAAGACAGGCTGCTTGGTTAATTTGGGGTAAATCCATGATTCTATTATTAAACTAAAAATAGAACAACGTATTATTATCAGGGTCTTTAAGAATAATGAAAAAAATTACTTACATAGTTTTTAGCACTAAATACACACAATCAATTATAACTGAGGTAACGCCCAATTTTGAATTAAGTTTTCGTTGAAAAATTAAATCTGGATGAGCACTGAAGAAAAACTTTGTGTCACCTAGGGACGTTAAAATCTAACTAAAATTTGAAAATGAATAACAACTACCAGGCCAGCCAGCTGCGTTTCGTTATCGTCGCAGGAAATGCGGCTTCCGTGTGATAAGCAGGATTAAGCAAGTTCACACACAACTTGCTCTTCTTGTTGCTGTTTATGAGAACGGTAGAAATTATAATTATTTTAAAAATAATATTTGGGGCCCCCCAATTAAATCGTTACAAGTCCGTGAAAAATGGGGCCCAAATTGGAGCACTATTTTTTCAATGATGATGATGATGTTGTCTTTTATGTGACCATATTTTAGTTTAGAAAAATGGGGCCGACGACGACGACGAAAAAAGGGGGCCCAGTACGGTGTATCTTGTTACAAGTAACGGGGGTACCAGGTACGAGGTAGCAGGTACGAGGTACCAGGTACGAGATACGCGGTATCAAATTTCAGGTTATGAATTCTAGGTACGTTGTACAAATTTCAAATTACCAGCACGAGATATGGGACATCAAATTTCAGGTTATGAGTTCTAGGCTACGTGCGCCTCAAAATTTGGGGGCCTGTATTGGTTCCATATACGATGATGATGGATAATGGGGCCGCGGGTCTAGCTGCGGAGACAAGTGGCCCCTTTCCGATTTTTCCCTAGATTTAGGGA